GAGTTGAGAAAGAGAGAGATCTGTGAGTGAATGGGAGAAGAACAGAGAAAAATTGGTGAAGGAAGGAATCTTGACCGTAGATGTAAAACGGACGGCTAAGATTAACTCATTAGGAAATATTAGGAAAGTTTTTATTAGGAGAGGATCCGGATCCCAAAAGGAAACGGTGGGGTTCGATTAAAAAAACTAGCTAGGGTTGGCCCCAACCCAATTTATATATATACACATATAGATATACACACATGCACATACAATATACACACATACATACATATATATATATATATACATATATATATATATATATATACACATGTAATTATATTATGATCTATATATACTCTTAGCATGGTATAGATACTAAGATATAAGAATATTAATATATATAATGTAGTTATAAGTATACTTATATGCGTATATTATAGAATTACAGTTATATAAGTATATATAAGTGCATAAGTATAATTATGTATAAGTATATTGCATCTAGTATATATAAAAATATATCATATAAGTAAACTGTATAACTGTACTTAAATAAGCATAATGTAATTTTTATTCATTAGGGATGTATTCATCTATTATGATGCGACGAATTCCAAAATAAATTTATAATTGTAGATGATTAACTGATTATTAATAAAGAAGTTATTTTTATCATTTTAATTTCTATGATTTTTTATATTTATAAATTATATAATTACAAGTGATTAATATTATAAAGTTTTTATTAAAATTTTGTTTAATTTTTGCTATATATTCTTGAAAATAAAAAAAAATTAAAAAAACTTAAAAAAAAGAAAAAATTAGGTCGGCCCGGTGCCCGATCGGCTTAAGCCAGGTCTAAGCACAATGAAGTCATTTTAATTTTGTGAGGGTAATGTCATGCTTCCAATTCATATTTAACGAAGAGTTAAAATATGACTAAATTTACATCTAATTAGAGGAACAAACACTTTTACACTCTATTGGTAACCAAAGTGTTTTTTTTATTGTGTTTTTTTTAAAAAACACCATACCATGGTGTTTATTTTTCAAACGTATTTTCAAAACACCATTTTATTGACCAAAAATTGTACAGACAAATCCACAAACAAAACCCACTTGATCACAGACACATAGTATAATCACGACCGACGCCGAGATCGAATCACAGTGTGATGCCCTAATTCTACGGAATCACAACAATGAAGCCCTAAATTTCGATCATGAACGACGCCCAAATCGAATCACAGTGTGATGCCCTAATTCTATGGAATCACAACAGTGAATAAATTTCGATCAAAGTGAGTTGTGGAGTGGGTACCTGAACGGCACGGTGAGCGGGGACGGCAGGGGTGGAAGCGAGGGCGACGGATGAGGACGAGGCAAACATGGTTTTTGAGGAGTTGGAGACGACGTGGAGGAGGATGTCGGCTGCGGAGTGGCGGAGGTGGTGGTTGTCGAGGGGAGACTTGAGGCGGAGGAAGGCCACCTTGGACTTGAGGTCCTCGATCTCCCGCTTTAGCTCCTCCTCCGTCTCGCTTCCTCCTCGTAGGCGCTGGCGACGCGAAGGCTGCGGTGACCA